CCCCCTCCTCCCTCTCTCTCTTTTTAATTGATATGATTTAGGCAGAGGAAAATGGTAAGGGGGATTTTTCTATTGCAGAAGCAATTTTTAAGGGATTTAGTCTTATTTAGCCTGAAGGTCTTCACACTAATGAGAGCACTTAAGTTACGTCCAGGCGTTGATTAGACAGCTCATCTATCAACTGGAGCATGAGAATTTGTATTTTAGGTACCTTTTATACATTATAAATGTATATGCTTTTTTTTATTACTTTAGACTTTATTTTCCACAAATTTTTAATTACCTTCTTTCACATCCACGGTGGCTGTAATGCAGCTGACAGAGCACAAGCGGTAACAGGGAAATACTCTACATTTGATGAGAAATAATATCGAAACTGTATCTGTAGAAATTGGCGTGCCGAATGCAAATTGCTACCCAGATACATTCCTTAAACTGCCACAAGCCCCCTTAAAGTCTAACTACATTTATTCAGGGAACGTGGAATTATATATATTAAAAAATGCCCAACCCCCGCCCCCCAAAAAAATTGTGAACGCTCTCTCTACCTGGTTTTTTTTTTTTTGCTGTGTTTAAAACACAATAGTGTCTTAATTATTTTCTGAACCATTCTGAAAAGTACAGCTTTTGTAACTTTTTGACATTTCAGGTTTAAAAAAAAAAATTAAAACGTTGCCACCAGCTTGCACTATGAGCAGCCTATAATAACAGTTAAAAAAGCTTTCTGAACTATTTGACAAGATTTCTTAGTGCTGAGGCCATATGCTGTAGCCTTTAAGCTATTTCTTCCTATCAGTTTCATTATCACCTGCCTCTGAGTCTCCAATATCATCAGTAAGCACATGCAGAATCATAATTATGCCATGTACAAGTTCTTTGATAACATGTACAGTTTTCTTCTTAATTCTTTATCAAATGCATTGATCGTGGCATGTGTGCATTGATCCAGGTCCACCATCTGGCTGTGTGTGATAAGCACAGTGGCATCTTTGCATTTCCACTGTCATTCATTGCGCTACAATTTGGCTGCAGGGGAGTAGTGGCTGGGATTAGCCCTGTTCTGCTACTTACTTGCATTTTAAGTTGACACCTCTACAGCGGCTCAGACCACATTACAAACTGAAACACATACGCACGACTTAGTGATGTGACACTCCTCAATAAGCTTACTCCACTAGCTACTCAACAATCTGTAATTGGATTTGTAGGAATAACAGCAAAAGATTTCCTAAGAATTGCTGGGGACAGAAGGTGAAGTTTTCTCATTATTGGCAAAAGGCTAGGTATAGATCCTAGGCGATTGGTATTTTCCATTAAAAACAAGCTGCCAGCAGTTTGCAGGACATTTTCAAAAAAACCCAGCAAAATAGGATCCAGGGAGGCATAGGGTCGGCACTTGTTCTGTCCATTCTCATGACATGCAAGCAGACTGGGATCCCGCCACCCTCCCCTGAAAATTAAGAGAAGGGGGGCAGGGGGGAAAACAACTTTCGGAGGCGCCCTGCAGCCCGCTCCGCTTTGTTCGGCGGGGAGTGAACCGGGAGCATTCCTCAGGAGGGCACGTCCTCCTGCCTCAGCGCGGGGTTGCCCGCCCGAGAAGGAAGCTTCCCAGGATGGCAGTCTGAGAGATGCTGCTCTTCAGCTTACGCATCCCATACACTTGCCAAAAGTCTTTGTTTCATAACGCCACTTTTTTTTTTTTTTTTTTTTTTTAAATTGTAAAGTCAAGTTTACACAAGAGAAAATCCCTTAAGTGGAGCTCGACAAATGTTGACTCCTACAATGAGTAAGCAGCTTCTTTAACTTCTGTCTGTAACTCTGCTGTGGAAAGGCACAGAAAATACCATCTTTAGACTTACTGATCTCAGATGGGACGTTATGCCCTGTCTGGATGATGGCACTATTTCAGAACAGTTCTCAGCCTGCACGCTTGAGACCTTGTTTGTGGGTAATGCCAATAGCATTGACAATCATGGTGACAGGCGTAACAAGCTTCTGGATCCCGACGCCTTAGGTGCTTGTTGTCCTTAATTATACTTCCCAGATGAGGAAGAGCACAAACTTGCCTAAGCAGAGAAAATTCCAGGGAAGAAGTTAGCGGAGGGCTTTGTCGCTGCTTTTGGTTTAGATCGACTTTCTCGATGATCTTTCTTGGGAGCCCCGTCGGTAGGCAAGGCTGCCCTCGCATTGTTCGCCGGGAGAGCACCTCGCTCTTAGTATCGGTGCAGGCGAGCGAGAAGAGGAGGAAAACAGAAAGTGTATTTGGAATTAGATATTTCAGCCTGTCCTTAAAACTTGCTGTAGAGCCGAGTGTAGTGTGAAATAAAAATGCTTGCCTTGATCGTCGCATAGATGTGCTGGTCCTAAAGGGTTACAGTGTGAAATAGAAATGCTTGCCTTGATCATCGCATAGATGTGCTGGTCCTAAAGGGTTAACTGGGTTAAATCTTATTTATCTGAATAGAACTGCAGGGCTGTTTTGCAGAATGCTCTAGCACAAATACCTATGGTTCACTTTGACGTTACAATTTTTTTGTTGGTTTCTTTACTTTAAATACTTGAACTGTTGGACCTTTTACTTTTTTCTCTGAGAAAGATGTATTTGTACCAGATTAGAAAAGCTAAACTGTTTCTTTACATTGAATAATCAGCCTGTCATGACAAATCTATCTCCTTCTGCATGAGTAGGTGCCAGTTTGACTAGCTTCTTTTAGGCTCACACTGGGTTTTAAGCTGGATCCATGTGCATGACTGGCAGTGCATTTGTTGGGCCAGATCTAAGGAGCCAGAGAGCGTTCAGCTCCTTTTTGCCTACAAAAGAGCAGCCAGACAACCAGCAAGAGGCCTTGGATGTAGCACAAGGTGATACTTACTTAGTCAGCCATTCTTTTTTTTTTCAAATATATTTTTTTTTTTCATTCAGTAAACTAAGGGTTTCTCAATTTCACAATGACACGAGGAATTAAATTATCAATGGATTGTTTTTCTACAGCCAGCATTCTTCACACCAGAAATACTGTACCAAGTAAATTGTAGGTTTTCCAGAACAACGTAGATTATATTAAAAAAAGAAATAAAAATAAAAAATTGCTGGCTAACATTTCTTTAAAAATACCTCCTAGGTTTAAGGAGATGTCTTTCAATTTACAGCCACAGAACCCCATTGTATTGTGAATTTTGGGAGGTTTTTTTCCTTAAAGGGGACAGCTTCATTAAGACATTGTGATTCTTCCAGTTTTAGACTCTGGGCTACTCCTGTTTTCATTTTGTCTTGTCTTATTAGTCCATCAGTGCCATAGATTGTAAGCCAATAGCTGCTTCTTTATGACTAGTGGTTTGATACTTTTTGTGATATACATTCATGAAAAAATATTTTCAAGCTACGTACATTTTATTGGTAGTAAGGTAGAAGGCAGAAAATATCTAAGATGTTTATGTCTTTCTTTGCTGACCACTTCCTATGATCTGACTAGCCACAGAAATCCAAAGCCAATGCACTTTTGTTTATGTCGAGTGTTCCCTGCTTAGCAACTCATATTTTGCTTGCTACCTGTGTATTTTGAGCTGTTCTGAAACGGTAGTAGAGACCAAACATAAATGTGGTCCCCAGGGCGATCAAAGATTTAATCTGACCAGATGGGACAAACTTGAGAAAGATTTTGACTTTCCACTCTGTTTTGCAACAAGAAAGGCTGATTTTTTTTCTCCCGTCCTTTCTTTGTTAGGGAAGGCAGAGATCAGGCCATCCCCAGAGAAATGAGCAGGTGTGGCCATTTACAAGCATGTCTGGTTATATTATAAACCAACATAAGAAAAGTTTGAAATGGTTTGAAAAGATCTGCTAAACAGTTTTAATGTTTCATCCCAAATCCTATTTACTCAAACAAGAGCCGATCAAGGTCACAGTAAAACCCAGCCTGCCCAAACCTTTAAAGCTCGTGTAATTTTTTTTTTTTTTTTAATTTTTTTATTCTGTCTTCTCTACTAACTGAATAGGTACATTTTGGTAATCCTTGCCTCTGGACAAGCACAGAAGTCTTTTTCTTTCTGAATGGCTAATAACAGAGCCGTTCTTCCTGTCTAATGATGAAAGAGGTGGCAGTCAAGTTCTTTCTCTTAGATGTACTGTGCACTTGGGGCAGACCACGGACAATTTTGAAACCTACAGCTACAGGAATCGCCCCCCCTCATAGGTACAATTCTGGTTTAATTTTGTTGCTGTGGAGTATCACTAATTTACCACTTTTTTTTTCCCCAGTCTATGGACACGGTAAAGAATTTTCTTTTTAAACATCAAATAAATGCAGCTCACGGGATTATATTTTTTTATAGGGAGAGGATAATAGGTTATCAGACTTCTGATATAAGCTCAGTTTGGATCCTCCCAAAATTCTGCCAAAGGACAACTGAAAATCCCTGGCAGAGGGTTATTTTTGAAAATGCGAGAAGATTGCAGAATTTTTAGTGATTTAAGGAGATGGGTTTCATGGGGATGGTTGGGGTTTTTTTCCCCCTGCAAGACTCCACCGCTCTCAATATTTTACTGAGTTGGTCAGTTCTCGGCTTCTGCCGCCGCCGAGCAACATCGCTGGCCGGGTAATGATCTCGGAAACTGCCCCGCCAGTGTTTCACATTCGGATTCACCTTCCCAAATCCACGGCATCATTTTTGGCCAAAGTAATGTCAGTCATTGCCGTCTGCGGCGAGTACAAAAGGACCCCCTAATGGCAGCCATTTTTATTTGTTTCTTAAGATCCAAAGGCTGCTGAAAGAACAATTGGATAAAGTTGAGGATTGGAGAAGCTTGATTTTCTTGTTCCAGTGAAATGAAACTCCCATCCTTTTTTTCTTCCCCTTCCCCTTAAAAGCTGGAGTCTGCTAGGGGGTTGTAGCTGTGTCAAAGCCGTTGGGATGCCACTGCTGATCACTTTAATTACTAGGACTAAGGAGGATAAAATTAAAAGTAGCACCATTGAAGCAGTGGAAGAAAGCTTGCCGAGATGTCGGTGAACTGTGAAATATAAAAATTGCATACCAATACATTTTTATAGGAGGGAAACAAGGAATTACATTACTTATTCTTGAAGAGTTTGTCCTTAAATGGTGAAGTTTTCCTCGCCGTGCATCCGCATGGCAGATCTTTAGACCATTACAAAGTAATTGGGGGAAAATAACAGAGCAAACTTTAATGTCTCTTTGGCATGTCAGGTTCATGTCAGAGGGTGAAAGATTTTACTGAGTTTTCTCTTCAACTGTACAGGAAAAATATCGCTGTATGTGCGTTTGCATGGTCCTTTCTTGGTGCGGAGCTTCTCTTTGTGTCTCCTTTTTTTTTTTTTAATATGTATGTTCATGCCTCCGTACCTCTCCCGAGCGCTTTCCTTTCCAAAATCAAGGGGGATTGATTTGCTGTTTAATAATTCTTCTGTGCCTCAAAACTTAATCTACCTACTTTTTCTGCTTTTAGTTTCATTGCTCCTTCCACCAGTGTTTCTTCTGCCAAGCTCAGTAACCGAGGGTTCAAATACCTGAACTGAATTTAAGCAAGAGCTAGGCTGCTTTTGCTCTTATCCACTGGTGATGATTGGCTTAATCAGCACAAGCACAAGCCACAATAATCTGTGTTTGCTTGGAGATCCCCGGGATGTTAATGACTATGCTAATAATTCAGGATACAAGTTCTCTTTCAGGAGGAGGGGAGAAAAGGAGAGGGGGGAATCAGCCTCCTCAGTTTGGGGCACATTTGTCACAAACACGTAACTGGCCTTATTTTAAACTACGTGGGCTATAGTAGATTAAATTGTTTGACGTTAAACCATGTGGGAATCTTAATACAAATTTTGCACATTCCTTCTTAAAAGTCATTTAAATCAAAGCCACAAGTTCCTATATTCCAGGAATTACAAATAGTAGAGATTGGAGCAGTTTTATTTCATGTAAAATTCAATGTAATTTATGTTACCAAATACCGTGGGTCAAAATAAAATCAGTTGCTGTATCAGTTGGCTGGCTAGAAATTAAATTAAATTGATCTATTATAGTGCATAGGAGCAGGGGGGGAAGCTTTCCAGTTGTCTTTCTAATGTGTACTTTACCAAATAAGTTTTTGATAGAACTGTTGCTCTGTGCCTTCTGGGAAGTTAAAGGGTGAGAAAGCAAACAAAGCCAATGTGCCATCCCGCTGCCTTGCAGGGCCCAGGCAGAATTGTCTTTCCAGGGGAAGGACATTAGGAGAAAAGTAAATCAAGGCAATCTGATAGGGAATCAGGGTTCTGTCACTCAGAGACAAGATATTGTGCTGTGTCCATATACTTTGTTTACTGTAGGGTTTTATGAGTTGTAACCTGCCCATGCAAGCTGTTAATGAGGCTAAATCTTGCTGCTTGAGGATTGAATTACAGCACACCTCTGGGCTAATGGTTATAAACAGAAAGTCCCATTAGGGCTGCATTCTGATTCAGTCATTTGCATTTTTTCTATTGTGCCGAGAACAATGCTGAGTAAATAGCTACAAACAAACAATTTACATGGAAATGGGTAAAATGTACCTAATTAGTATTTTGCGCTTGTTTTATTAATGATTGCTTAAACTAAATAGCACTTAGCAGCAGCTCTCACCAGCATCTGCAGGTGTGGGATGCTCCGTTTCTGGGTTGGTGGGAAGGCTGCCAGGACGGCTTTCCAAAATTAGGCAGTTTGTTATATTCCACTTAGTTCAGGTCAACTGCCTGTACCTGGGTTTTATCCTGGTCATTATGTCAGTAATACAAACTTACCGGCAGATTTGACTTAAAGCCAAACGCTGCCTTGTTGTGCTTATGAGCATTTCAATATTGAGGGGAGGGGGAAAACAGTCCTAACTTTGAAAAAAATCATATTTTTAAGGTGAAAACGGAAACTGTTTCCCTTACGGTTTATTGGATTCTTATAGATATGTTTAAACACATCTTTTTATTAATATTTTTTTAGTATGGTGGGTTAGTCTTTTCCAAAATTTCATGCTGTAGAACTTTGTTCATTTATGTAATTGAAATATTTTCGTGCTTCTAAGATAGTTACGATCTTAAGTGGGACAGCACTGTCTGGGATGGTTCCAATATGATCTCTTTAATCACTGACCCAAGCCCCACTAGTAGGATGTTTTAAAGCGATGCAAAGTCTTTTCTGCTCTGGCATCTATTGTTCTTTCATTAATTTTCATTAGTTTATTTTTTTAAAGAAAAGATTTATCCATTGAAGTCGAAGGATTAGATTCCTTTCCATGCCTCAGATTCGATGTCAGTTTACATTTTGAAGTCAGCTTGGTGATTGGAGTAACTGAGAGCAACATCTGGCTTCTCGTTTCAGTTCTGTGACAGAATATTACTCAAACAAGTAATTCAATTTAGTAAAACCATTTTTATAGCCGCAGTAAAACTTTTTGTAGGTATTACTTTGACACAAAAGTGTCTGAGAATTTTCATCAAGGTATTTTCATAGAACATAATTTATAAATGCTTTAACTTGCAAATAATTAGGTTTCTAATGCATTAATAATTTGGGGAATGCTTTAAAAAAAAATCTGATTCATGGATGTCTTAAAAAATTGTGGTGTGACACCCAACTGATATCGAGCATCCTATTTATAATGTGGGCCAAGCACCATGCTGTAAACCAGTTACTATCATGATGATCAGATTGAGAATGAAATTGCATTTCTGTCTATTACTGAGTTGGCAACTGTTCAATATATCTTAGCAGCAAGATGAAGAGCGGCGTCGGCAGCTGAGAGAGAGAGCTCGTCAGCTAATAGCAGAAGCTCGATCTGGAGTGAAGATGTCAGAACTTCCTAGCTACAGTGAAATGGCTGCAGAAAAGTTGAAAGAAAGGTCAAAGGCATCTGGAGGTGAGCTGAGGAACCTTGTATCTTATTCCTATGGCAACCTAGAAACCAGAGACCTTTTGGGGTATCACTTTTATTCACACTTCAAAACGTTGTTGTTCTTCAGCTGCGCATATCAAAAAACCTGGCTGTAGATATGTTTCCTAAATCAGCATTGTGTCACTTAATTTCCAGCAATTAAAAGAAAAGCATATATGTGATTGAAAGAAAAAGATCTTATGTGAACAAGTAGCTCATATTGGCCCATTATTTACAGATTTGTCATTACCGACAGTTTTTTAGAATTTTATGATTGTTGGTTAAAATCTCTTCAATATATATTTTTATATGGGAGCATGGACATAATTTTGGAGGAAAACAACATTAGAAATACTTAAACTTTATTTTGTATTAAATGTGTTCAAAAGACTGCTTGGGAAGAGAATTTTAAGGACGGCCCATGGGAGGTGGGGGCAACAACCTTTTGATTTTAAATGGCAGTCTTTTGACATACCACTTGCCTTTACAGGTTTTGAGTTGTAATACTGCTATAATGTTATTAAACTGAGTTTGAGATGTCTTTAAAATTCATATACCTGCCAGTGCTACGAGCTGGAGTAATGTAGTGGCACTCAAACTCAAATGGGTGCTGAGCACACGTTTCAGTACAGGCTTCTTGCTCTTTTAGTGTCTTCTACATATTCTAAGGGGAAATTGTGTTTCTCATACTAATACGTAATTGTAAGCCAAAGTCTCAGGAAAATCCAGCTCTACATTCACAAAGCATGTAGATTCAACAACCATATTTTTTTCTTCTCTACTACACGTATTTTACATGCATATATATTTAAATATAATTTTATTGCACCCTAAACCCTACACTTCTGTTCCATTTAACACCAGAAAGAAAAGCAGTTAGTTGCAAGTCTCCCTTTGGGTCTGGTCTTCAGTTTTCCTCTCTTTGCCCGGTAAACCAAGCCTGCTAACTCTCTTTTGTGATAAATAGGGAAATTACATCTTGAAAGAGTAAGACAGGCTGAGCAAAATGGCACAGTACTTGTATATTGAGTAGACTATGGTGTTCTTCATCCCTCTTCACAATTTATGACTCTCCATCCTACGTTATTTAGTTGCTTCCTCCTCACTGTTTTATCGTGCCTGTACATAGCTGTTCCTGCCATCTCTCACCTCCGAGTAAGGTACGCTTTCTGGGTATATCCTGAGTGCTCAGCTGGATAGTAGTTACCCTGTTTTGTCACAGTGACTCACTTGTTGTGTTGCTGAATATCCCAGTATGCTGTTTTCTGGGATGTGGCCTTCCCTGTTCATATTTTCGTCTGAATTTTGCCATTGCTCTTCCTGCCCTTCGTTCAGTCTATAAACAGTCTCAGAGGTAACTGTGCACTGTGCGTATTTATATATATTAAAA